GGGGGGGGGGGGGGGGAGGGGAATTTACGAGGCGGCTTTTGTGCGCGATCCCGGCAAAAATCGATCAGAAAAGCTTGAATAAGTGCGGAGGACGCATTGTCGAACGGGCGAAGAATACGGGAATTGTCGTTAGCCTCCGCGCGCGCGGTGACACGTCTGAGTTGTGGAGCGAAGAGACGGGGAGAACGCAGGGAGAAGAGGGAGGGTAAGGAGGGAGGAAAACTAGATATACGATCGGACGTTGAGAGTGTAACAAGGTTTTCCGTTATCGAGTCTAAGATATCCCTAAAAAACGAGCGCCGATCGCGATGCATCTCCCCGCGTGGACTCTACGACGCAGAACGAGGGGATGGCGGAGAAAAAGAGACAGAGAGAGAGAGAGAGAAGGGCAAAGGGGTTGCTTGGGAATGCGAGGAAAACGCGGTCTTGCGCTCGCTCTCTCGCGCGCGCGCGTAAAAATAGATCTTCCTCCGACGCCGCCGGCGCCCCCACGTTGCCGGAATTCGATATCTCTTGTATACGTTGCACTCCGCATCCCATTGTGCGCGCAAAACGAATTAAATATTTTCGTAGCGCGCACACCGGCGCGCGAACGCGCGCTCGCTTGTGAGCTCGCGAGCGACAAACGAGCCGAAGAATTTCAGTAAAACGACGACGGCGCATACGTTCGCCGGGAGCTCGTTGGCGAATTAAAATTAATAGAGCGGCTATCTATGCAACGACGGCACGCTCATGCGTGCATTTGCGCGCGCGCTGCATAGCTCAGGATTATCGTAACGATCGATCGGAGCGATACCTGAGCGTACACGGGGAGGATTCCAAATGACTGTTGGAAAAGCGGGTTTTTCCAGGCACCACGTCGGACCTCCGAGCCCGCCGGTGAGATGTGGGCTCACGCGGGGCTCAACGTTTTTGCCCCGTGCCTTTTTCCGATAATTAATGTTCGTCCCTGCGCGCGCTCGCAAAGCGAACGGAAGGGACAAACGCGAAAGAGAGCGGCGGATCAGATTAATGATTGTTTTACCCGCTCGTCATTACGTGAAAGGCGGTCCTGGTTATCGCCGCGGCACGAGATAGCGAGAGGGAAAACGGCGAGGAGACACACACCGACACATCGGGGTGGGAAACATGTCGGGCGAGAAATCAAAGAGCGCCGTGCGTCATTCTAACCCCCGGGGGCAGGGAAAAAGTCGGGACGAAATCGGTGTTCGGACGGAGAGAGCGACGCTTACGTTTTGTACGAATTATTTTCTCGACTTCTGCCACGAGAAAAATGAGGCGCGCTCTGAAACGCCCTCCGCGAGAGGACTCCCTGCGCCTTGCGAATTGCGGGTTTTCGTGCTCCCCGACACATATGCTGCACGAGGTGTTACGAGGAATTGTTAAATTACAGTAAATCGGCACTCTTATCAATGATGAAACATTTAACGATTGTTGCGCGCATAATGGCTCATCTCCGATACATATATAATCCAAAATAAATTCGTTCCCTCTGTTTACATTATTACAAAACTTGAACACTTCCCACGTCAAAATTTTGACTCTACTTTCAACATTTAAATTCCATTCAACGCCTACTTTGATACTCTAAAGGCTATGTCTTTTTTATTTTATTCAACTTTTTGAGCCATAGTGACACACTAGCGTCTTGCCTATCTTTTCTATTTTTAGTGATTTTAATTAACTTATCGGCAGACAAACACATAGTCGATTATATTATTACTACATACACACACCCTCTCTCATAAACATAAGGAATTAGAAATAAATAATTTGAATATATAATTGTTAAATTTTTGTAAGCAAATAGAAAGGACACTATTTCCAGACAAAAATTATTTTAAGACTAACTATTAAAAATCGAAAACATTAATAGTTTAGGAAAGATAATTAACAGTATTTTATACGTTTTTCTCAAAATTTTCTGTAAGTCTTATTTTTATAATAAACTATTGAAATATTAATAATATGTATACTGCAAATTTCTTGTCAAAAACGCAAATATCTATTTTTCATATCAAGGAAATATCGTCATTATTTTCGGATAATACTATTGCTAATTTTGAAAATTTATGTTTTACTTATGAAGAATTCCGCTACGAATAAGATTACATTTCTTTGGGTGAATTAATAACTCTTCTAAGAGTCAAAATATTTTTTTACCATCACGATAACCGTGGAAATAGAATATTAAACGAAAGTGATTTTTATTCATCAATTTCATGTGCATATGAGTGACTATATAGCGTTTACCAGCGACGCAACAACAAGTGTTGCGCAACAATACTCTCGCCAAGGGACAAACGATATCAATCGCTGATGGGAACGGCCAGCTGCGCCGGAAAGCTTTCCTGTGAAAGAGAAATCGACTCACACGTGATCTGCAAGTTCCCGGTGACGTGTTCCGACAGAAGATTACGGTAGAACACGCTGAAGCGTTCTCAATTATTGGAGAAGTCATCGGAAACGTGCGGTTCCCAGATTCGAAAACAGACAGAATGAGAAAGCGCGGGTGAATGAGTGAACAAAGGAAGGTAGGCAGAAGTAGTGAGAGGATGGGGTGACCGAGGGTGAAGGGGCAGGAGATGGACATCGCGTGAC